AAAATATTACATAAGAAATTCAGTTGCTTTTCGTATCTAAAATTAACAACTCAAGTTTTTTCCTTTGCACTGCTCTAGTCATTTTAAAAACAAAATATTCTTATAAACATGATACCACCATATATACTAAAATTAAAACTGATAAATGCTTATAAATATATAGATGAACTTTAAATTCTTTAAACTAAAATAAATGGTTTCCCCCAACTCATTCCCTGGAGAAAAAGAAAGAAAAAAAAAGCTTTGTTTTCTAGAATGTGGCAGAAACTATTCTTCAGCTAATGCAACAGTCAACCCCAAGCTCTTGGTTTGTCAGTTCAATTACAGATGCTCAAAGGAGCTAAATACTAGGTTTCTGAGCCTCTATTCCAACTATGGGTGATCTAACAGCAGAGAACTGAAGGGGAGAAAAAACATTTTTTCCTCAACCCTCATAAGTATGTACTTAACACAGACTTATATCAGAGAAGGCAGATTAACAAGAGAAAAACAGATAGGTTTATTAATGTGTGCAGTGTATATCACACAGGAAAAGCTCTCAGTGAAAAGTAACTCAAGGCAGTGGTTTACAAGTCTGGTTTATACCGCATACCAACAAAGAACAATAAATTTAGAGAAGTGACAAGGCAAAGGAAAGCAGTCCCAGACTTCCAGAGGTGGGAAACATTGAAAGGTAAGTATATGGAAGGCTCTAATGGAGTAAAGTCAGCTTGCAGATTCCTCTGGTGCCGTCTCTGAGATGATAAAGGATTTTTTCCAGTAAAGAAGAATTTACATCCTGTCCATAGAGGAAAAAGGAGGAGGGAGGACAGCAAGACCTTTTTTCTCTGTAAATGTGTGTCCTGCTTTTAGGCAGAGAGATCTACTAGCATCTTAACTGTCTTCAGCTCAAGAATCCTTCATATTTTGGGGAGGTACATTCTAGTTTCCTACAGTACTAAACTTTATACACCTTCACAGAATACTATAATTGCCTGCCTACTTGCATGTACCCCTTATTACAGTGTAAGCTCCCTTAAGTTAGGGACAGTTTACTCTCTAACTCTCTGAACAAACTATCAAACGCTTTGAGAATAATCAAACACATGCATCAGTTTAATTTGGTTTAGAGAGACATCTTCCCTGGAGTTTCCACTTTCCTGCTCCAATCCGTACTAGTCATCTCTAGGCCTGTTACTCAGCTGTCATCCTGAACTTTTGTTCACCATCATCTGGCAAATTTCCCCTCTCTCCAGTGTTACATTCCCCATTTTCCTAGATATCATGCCTTCTTTCACATACTTCAATAGCTTCCTGTGTGAAGATATGTAGGAGATAAATTTTTTGGTATCTTGCATGTTAAAAAAATATTTTTAGGTCATCCTCATAATTGATTGACTATTTGGTTGGAATTAGAAATCTATGTTTGTCATAATTTTTCCTCAAAACTTTGAAGGTATTGCTTCCTTGTCTACTAGCTTCCAATGTTACTTTTAAGTTAAGACGGACATTCCACTAATTCCTATTCCTTTCCTTGTGGCTTGTTTTTAACTCTCTGGCACTCTGAAATGTCCTCACAATAGGTCTTTTATCCCCCTCATTAATGGTGCTGAGCACTTTCAATTTAGAAACAGATGGCGTTCAGCTCTGGAAATTTTTCTTACATTGTTTCACTGATAATTATTTCCCTTCCATTTTCTTTTGTCTGTCTCTTTGAAAGTCTTTCTAGAAAGGAGGTGGACCTCCTGACTAGATTTTCTATTGTTTTTAATATTTCTGTAATATTTTTACATCTCTTTGGCTTTTATATTCTGGGAGATTTATTCAACCTTATCTTTCCATCCATCATTTTAAAATTTTCTTCTATCATATTCTGTGAGCTCTTTTTCCCTAAATATCTCCCTTTTGCAATCTCTTATTCTTTTTTCATATAGCAATATATTCTCTGATCTCACGGAGATAATTATGTCAGATACTATGTTCAGTGATTTGCATTCACCATATTTAATCATCACAACCATCCTATGTGTAGATGTCATTATCCCTGCAAGAATGCCTAACAGACATCTCAAACTCAATATATAGGACTGAACTCCTGATCATCCCCCTAAAATCTGCGCTGTCCACAGTGTTCCTCTTGTCAGTTGATAACAGTCCCATCCATTCAGTTCCTGAGCCAAAAACATAGGCTCCTTTTTGTGTCACACAACATATTCAAATCATCAGGAAATCCTGTTGTCTCAATCTCAAAAATATATGCAAAATTCAATCATTCCTCAATATTTTCATTGATACTACTCTTTATCATCACCTTTGATATAGTTTGAATATTCTCCCACCCAAATCTCCTTTTGAATATTAATCCCCAATGTGGGAAATGGGGCCTAGTGCAAGGTGTTTGGGTCACAGGGGCAGATCCCTCATGGCTTGGTGCTGTGTTCATGCTAGTGAGTGAGTTCTCAAGAGATCTGATGGTTCAAAAATGTTGGAGACTTCACCTTTTACTCTTTCTCTTGCTCTTGTCATGTGATGGGCCTGCTCCTGCTTCCCTGTCCACTGTAAGTAAAAGCTCTTCTGAGGCCTCCGCAGAAGTTGAGCAGATGCTGGCGCCATACTTCCTATACAGCTGGGATTGAAAACTCCTCAGTCAAATACTTCAAGGAAGATGCTTCTCTTGCCAAGAATTTGTTTCTTTCTTTGAGATTGCCTGGAAGTTGTGTATCAAACTCCTTATTGACCACAGAAGCAAGAGCGTCAATAATCACAAGTTTAATTCCTTTTGAGATAATTTCTTCTTCCAAAGATTCAATCCTTTGTAAAACTTCATCACAGGTGAGCTCCCGATAAAGATGAACTTTACTACTTGTCAAAAGTAGTTTTTCTTCAGTGTTAAAATATCTGGGAAAATGGGATTCTGCTATCTCAACCAGTCTTTCAGCACTAAATGCTGACTCTGTGTCAATGTACACGACAGCTCCTTCTAATCCTCCCATATTGATGGATAATGTAGCTAAAATGCTCATCATTATACAAAACTGAGTTTTTCCACAACCTGGTGGACCTGTAATCTCTGTGAGGGATCCACAAGCCACACCACCATGCAGGGCTTCATCCAAAGCAGAAAGGGTAGTAGATAAGAATGCTGGTGAGAAATCAGCAGACCTCTGTGCTTTTATCCCGTAAGCCGGGTCTGCAGCATCCAAATTTTAAGTTTCCCCACTCATTACACAGTTTCCCCTTGGAAAGCCAAGCCTCTTCTTATAATTTAGGAGTATTTAGGTAGTTAGCCAAGCATGGTGGCTGACTGGGCATGGTGGCTCATGTCTGCAATCTCAGCATTTTGGGAGGCCAAAGCGAAAGCTCAGAGTTTGAGATCAGCCTGGGCAACATAGTGAGAACTCATTGGTATAAAAGAAAAAGAAGAAGAAGAAGAGGAAGAAGAAGTATTTAGATAGTTTCAAAGAAAGGTTGAGATATAAGTCTATTTTTGTTTAGTAATAGTTTTCAGAATTCATTAAGTATGGCAAAATCATAGGCCATTATGGTACAAAGGAAATATCCCTTCATTTGAGGTCAGAGAATCTAGGTTGTAATCTCAGCTCTCGTTTGCTGTGTAAAGTTTAGCTATTAATTTACTCTCTCAGAGCCTCAGTTTTCTCATCTGTAATATGAAAATAATCCTTACCTCATATACTTGTTGGGAAAATAACTTGAAATTTTAAAAAAGTACTATGTCAACAATAAGATTTCATCATAATGTGAGGATAAAGGGAATAAAATAAACACTAAAGGAATATTTACCATATGCTAGTCATTAACTTATTTTCTACTTGTTGCTCCTAGCAAGACCAATATCTGTATATCCCTAAGGAAAAAAAACATGACCACGAGCCTTGGGTCACATTTTCTTATTTTACTACCTATTGCTTCAGTAGCCATGCAATAGTTTACAGCCTAGTGGCAGGAAGGTAAAATGTGTGGAAGGATTGTCTTGTAGGTCATTCTCTTTGAGAAAAGTGATCCCCCACCAAGGAGAAGTCTGCTTAACAGTTCATATTAAAATCTTGGTTCAAAGCAGTGAATGAAAAGTTGCAGATGAGTTTCATAGTTTTATAGCAAAGCCCAACAGAACCATTTCGGTAAGACATTGTAGTAGAATAGGAAAGGCCCTGAATGGGAAGAAAGGGAACCAGAGTTCTAATCCTGATTTTGCCACTGCCTAATTGTATAACCTAAAAAAAGTTTATTTTTCCTCTTGACCTCAAAGTCCTTTTTTATACAGTAATGTGGGATGTACTGGATTATCTCTAAGGCCTATTCCAACATTGATATTCTAATATGCTTTTCTTAATTTTAATAGAAAGATTTAAATCACACACACACACACACACACACACACACACACACACACACACACACATATATATATATGTAAATTTAGGATGCTATTTTATACCTCAAAAGGAAAAAGAAAAAAAATGTACAAATTATTTCTGTGTTGTGAATTATAATAAACACTCACATTAATAGCTTTATTGGAGTAGAATTAGCATAATCATTTACATTCTCAAAGTATTTTAAAGATCCAGCATCTCATTTGAGTCTCATAATAATGACAATATTTTGGCCAGATGCAGTGGCTCACGCCTGTAATCCCAGCACTTTGGGAGGCTGAGCTGGGTGGATCACGAGGGCAAGAGATCGAGACCATCCTGGCCAACATGGTGAATCCCCGTCTCTACTAAAAACACAAAAAAATTAGCTGGGCATGGTGGTGTGCACCTGTAATCCCAGCTACCTGGGAGGCTAAGGCAGGAGAATTGCTTGAATCCAGGATACGGAGGTTGCAGTGTGCCAAGATCCCACCACTGTACTCCAGCCTGGTGAAAGAGCCAAAAAATGAAATAAAATAAAATAAATTTTAAAAGGACAATATTTTATTATTTATCTTTACATAGTAAATTAAGTAATTGAGTCTCAAGGATGTTTAAGATTTGCACAAAGTCACATAGCCAGTACATGATGGATTCAGAAATCCAGTTGCAGTCTATTTCTAAGCCCAGTTTTTTTCCCACTACCTCAAGCTGGAGATGATTTTATCCAGATTTAGAATAAGAATAACTCATCTGGAAAATAAATTAAAAAGGGAAGAGTCACTGTGTTTTATATATGTTAAAAGTATGAACAGGTCAATGCTTTATATTCTTTTAAAAAATTCTTCGGACTTGAGACTGAAGCTCTGAACAAGATGAAAGCAAATATACAAACAAAATATAAATGTATCTTTCAGAGTGCTAGACATTATGAAAGATTAAAGGAACAGTATTTGTAAAGCACTTTAGTATCATTTGACTAAAGTGGCTATTTAAATATCATATTTAGAGCTATAACCCTCAGGCGTACAACAGAAAAAGAAAGAATAAAAAATGGGATATAAGAAGATGTTAATTTTTCTAGGGATTGTCTATCACAGTCCTTGTGTTAGTATAGACTTTTTAGAGACTGCTGAAGAAGTGTATCTCACACTTCTTTCACTAACCTCCAACCAAAAGTAATTGAAAACTTTAAGGAGTTTAAAGTGAGTTAGTTATCTCTGTCAATGAGGGTAGTGACTGCTTGCTATTGGTGTCGTAGCAACAACAAAAGCCACCAATGGAGAGTTTGTGTTTAAAGTTGTTATTAATAATGATTTCAAAAAATGTGTAGTCTCTGGAGAAGCCTATTCATTTAAATCAAAACGACATTTCTCTTTTTGACAAATAAATGATTTGTAAAATAAAAGCCATTAACTCGCTTATTAGCATGCTGAAGTTTTAATTAGATCCAGCAAAAGTATTAGGAGATTTGAGTATATTAGATTCAAAGGCTCTGGAATGTGAGCTCAGATGATGAGACTATATGTAGAAGCCTAGTACTCCAAGAGTATGCATTCCAAATCTTTCCATTCCAAGTAAATGTAGGTGTCAAATATTATGAATCCAACTCTGTTGGGAAAGCAATGGAGGTTTAAGATATGTGCACTGACATCATAGAGCTTTCAGCCTGATTGCAGACATATTTTAAGAAATGAAGGGAGGGAAGAAGATAGGAAAGGAGACAGGAAGGGGGAAGGAAGGAAGGAAGAAAGAAAGGAAGGAAGGAAGGAAAGAAGGAAGGAAGGAAGGGAGGGAGAGAGGGAGGAAAACTTTATATCAATTTTCTTATTTGATAAACCAAATGAGATTGTGAGGTAAGGATTGTTATCCTCATTTCACAGGTAAGGAAACTGAGGTTTGTAGAGCTAGATAACCTGTATAAAATCACACAATGCATAAAAGTCAGTCAAAATTCAAATTCATTAATTGTAAAATTTATGCTTGTCTTTTACATCACTAAATTACAATACAACAGGAAAAGATTGAAAAAGAAAAAAATATCATTTTAGCAGTAGAATACATAAAACTGAATTTAATTACAATAGGAATTCAGAGAAGGGTGAACTGAATTCAAGCTGGAGTTAATCAGTCCACGTTTTTCTTGTGAAGAATATAGCTCCTATGGTGGACCTTGTAGATTGTCTAAATAGAGAAAAAGGAGAAAAGAATAATGTCACTGAGTCTGTTTCTTCATCTATACAATAGGAATTATGCCATTCACTTTGTAGCACCATTGTTAGGATTGAAGGAGATAGCATATGTAAAACCATTTTGTAAATTACAAAGCATTAATTGATTAGGGATGGAGAAAAATGGCCAAATAGAAAGTTCCACTGAGCATCCTTCCTACAGGAACACCAAATTTAATAACTATCTAAACAAAAGTAGCACCTTCATAAGAAGAAAAAATCAAGTGAGCATTCATAGTCCTTGGCTTTAAATTCCTATCACTGAAATAGACACTGTATTAGTCCCTACTCATACTGCTATAAAAAACTGCTGGAAACTGGATAATTTAGAAAGAAAAGAGGTTTAATTGACTCATAGTTCTGCAGAGCTGGGGAGGCCACAGGAAACTTACAGTCTTGATGGAAGCAGTCACGTCCTTTTTTCACATGGAAGCAGCAAGGAGAAGTGCCCAGCAAAAGGGGGAAAAGCCTCTTATAAAACCATCAGATCTCATGAAAACTCACTCACTATCATGAGAAAAGCATGAGGGTGACTGCCCCCATGATCCAATTACCTCCTTCCCATAACACATGGGGTTTATGGGAATTATAGTTCAAGATATTTGAGTGGAGACACAGCCAAACCATATCAGGCACTGTAGTGGGTAGGAAAGACAGTCTTGAATCCCTAATGTCACCTCCTCTCCACTATCCTCTAGCAGTAGACCTGTGGTGTAAGAAAAGAATCAGTGCTCTTGGGAAAGGGAGGGCACAACGTGTGTGAAGCCTTGCATTGAACTCAAGTTCCACAGTGAAACTTGAGTTTTGCTGCCCTGTCACAGCAAAAGGCAAAACAGGATGGAACTCAGCTGATGCCTACCAATGGAGGAAGCATTCAGACCAGCCGTAGACACAGGGGACTTACCCATTCCCAGCAGCTGGAATTTGAGTTCACTGCAAACTAAAGTGCTTTGGGATTCTAAATAAACTTTAAAGGCAGTGTAGGTCACAGGGACTGCAACTCCTAGCTGAGTCCTAGTGCTATGCTGGGCAAAGAGCCAGTGCATGTCGACCTACTAAGACACCAGCCATAGTGGCTAAGGGAACTTGTGCCACACCACCTCCAACCCTTGGCAGCACAGCTCATGGTACCAAAAGAGACACATTCCTTCCACTTGTGGAGTTGAGAGGGAAGAGTAAAAAGGAATTTTTCTTGCACCTTGAATACCAGTTCAGCCACAGTATGATGGAGTGCTGATCAAAGTTTTGAGTCCCCCATTGTATGCCTTAGCTCCTGGATGACATTTATAGACACACACTGAGCCAGGGGGAACCCACTACCTTGAAGGAAAGAACCCAGTCCAGGCAGGATCCAGAACCTGCTGCCTAAAGACACATTGGCCCCTGAATAACCCACAGCAATGCCCAGGTAGTATGCCATAGGCCTTGGGTGAGACTGAGACATGCTGGCTTCAGGTGAGATCCAGCACATTTCCAGCTGTAGTAGCTACAGTAAGAGACCCCTTCTACTTGAGAAAAGCAGAGGGAAAAGTAAAGGGGACTTTCTTGTACCTTAAGTACTAGTTTGGCCACAGGAGAGTAGAGTA